TAAGACATTATTACCGTTTGTTTTATGTATCAGTTTAAATTTTAACGGTTTTCAAATTAAGTTTTTCACGGTAGCATCCCGAATCAGCTTTCGCAAAAATTAATGTTTTATGTATATTTAGAAAATTGCGAAAATGGCGTACTCTGATATAGTAGTAAGTCGGGGTGTTACATTCGTTGTGCTTCCTCTCTCTCAGGATCAGCGCGTCTCTCTGGCCGCATTCCAGATGAAGATGGATGCATCAGATTGGTGGATTGACTACTGGGCCCTGAGGCTAGTGGCAGAGCGCGATGCTCTCTTATTGGAGCGTATGAAGGAGATTGTCCGAGACAAGTTTCTGCCTCACAATTTCCACGACCGAATGGAGCAAGAATTCTGGCACCTTCAGCAGGGCAATGCTAGCGTGGATGAGTACACACGTAATTTCACCAGAATGCGTATCTTTGCTGGCGAAATGGTGAACATTGATGCAAAAAAGGCCTGTAAGTTTCTGAAGGGGCTTAATCAAGAGAATCTGAGAGCTAGTAGGGAGTCATGGAGTGATGTCAAATGTTGATACTGCGCTACGGGCACAGGAAGTGGAGAGCTATCTTATCCCCATAGCTCTCGTCTCCTCATATTATCATGCTTCTCAGACTACTCAGACTGCATCTCCACTCATTTCTCAGCCACCTATCATTCCCCAGATTGCCTATCAGTACCCTGCTCCTTACGCTTCAGCTCCTCCATCCTCTAGCTTCGGCAAGAGAAAGAGCGATCAGCAGAACCGCAAGAAGGGAAAACGCCCTAACCACGTTTCCGCCACCCTCAGCAGCAGCAGCCCAAAGTCTCCGAACATCCAGCCTATCCGCCAAATCCCTACAGGGCTACAACCATGTAAAGCATGCGAATTAGCCCACGAAGCCAACATGTGTGGAGCTGCCGACATGATTTGCTACAATTGCCAGAAGAAGGGCCACTTCTCCCATGACTGCCCAGAACCTCGGAAACCACATTAGCCCCAACAACAGCAGCAGCGAGCACCAGCTCGAGTCTATGCCCTGACCGAGGAGGAGACAACCAACAATGCATGTGCAATGTCCGACATGTTATCTTTATCAAATTTGCCAATATTTGCATTATGTGATACTGGAGCCACGCATTAGTTCAAATCTTTTCAATGTTTGGAGTCACTGGACATCTAGAGTGTTAGTAGGGTCGATGCTCTCGAGGTTTGTTCACCAAATGGTACAGGGACTTGAAATTTTTATCGGAGGTCAAAAGCTGGAGGCAGATGCCTACATCATTAACATGCGAGATTTAGACGTCATCCCCGGCATGGATTGGCTCACCCATTACCGCGCCGACATCCGATGTTTGGAGAAGGAGGTCACGTTGCACCCAACCAATGGAGAGTTGATTGTGTTTTATGGCGCCAAGTCGAGAACCGTGTTGAAGGTCATATCCTCCTTGAAGGCGATGAAGGGAATATCGAATGGTAGTTTCCAAGGCTACTTGGTGAGCATGATTGGAGAAGGGAAAGAGAAAAAGGCATCACCAGGGGATGTATCGATTGTGTGAGAGTACCCCGATGTCTTCCCCGACCAGTTGCCAGGTGGACCACCAATCCGACAAGTTGAATTCACCATCGACTTGCTTCCTGGAGTCGGACCCCTCTCCAAGACACCTTATCAAATGGCACCGATGGAGTTGCAAAACTCAAGACGCAAATCCAGGAACTGCTGAACCTTGGTTTCATCCGACCGAATGTTTCTCCCTGGGGAGTGCTCGTGCTTTTCGTGAAAAAGAAGGATAGTTCGATGCGCATGTG